TTAACCGGCTTCAAAGGCTGTGAATCTCACTAAAGATTAATCATCATCATCATCATCATCATCATTATTATTATTATTATTATTATTATTATTATTATTATTATTATTATTATTATATAGTAGAACTATATTATATATTAGAACTGGTCTTCCCTCTATTAGAACTGAATCAGCCCAAACAGGAGCTGCTGATCCAGTTCTACAGAGGAATTATTGAGTCTGTCATCTGCACCTCTATCACTGTCTGGTTTGGCTCTGCAACCCAACATAATTTGGTTAATTGATAATTAATCTGGCTCTCCCCAGCTCTGTTTTCACTGGCCGAGGGTTGCAGAAGCTCTGGAGCCCGTTTTCGCTGGCTGAGCTCTTGGGCCATCACAGGTGCCCCCGACAGGAGTGACTTCGAGCTGGCCACACCCCCCAGCCATGCCCCCTGCCCCCCCCAAGGTCAAATACAACCCTGATGCGGCCCTCAATGAAATCGAGTTTGACGCCCCTGTTGTAGATTAACCTGAAGCAAATCTTCACCTATTAAATTTTTCTTCGCTAAAATGACTATCATATTTTTTTTTCTCAAAGAATGCTCGACCTTGTTAGTATCCACGAAGAAAAAGTTACGAGTTTACTTGGCTTGTTTCTTGTTTCAATTGCACTGGGAGGGTTACATTCAAACCATCATCATAATAAAAAGTGGTGTCAGATTTATATTCCAAATATAGGGTTATTTGCCTTGTTCAGCATTTTGTAGAGTTGACACAGTGAGTTGATAATTTTCTACATCTAACTGTGTCACCTGTTCTTTTTTAAGACCCTCTGATGTGGGGGGGATTCAATTTTTTTTACTACCGGTTCTGTGGGCGTGGCTTGCTTGGTGGGCGTGGCTGGGTTGTCATGTGACTGGGCATGTGACTGGCTTGGTGGTCATGTGACTGGGTGGGACTGGCTTGGTGGTCATGTGACTAGGTGGTCATGTGACCGGGTGGGCGTGGCTGGGTGATCATGCGGCTGGGGTGCACAGCAAACTCGGGGGGGGGGGGGGAGCGCGCGAGACTTACCGTATTTTTCGGAGTATAAGATGCAGCTCAGTTTTTGGGGAGGAAAATAGTGGGGGAAAAAATCTGCTAGCGTCCTTAGTCTGGTCAGCTTCAGCACATTAATTTGCTGGTTTTTTATCCCCTGCTTGGGGATAAAAAAAACAGCTTCTAAAGCACAACTGAGAGGATGCAGCAATGAGAAAAGCAGGCAAAGCACGGACGGGAGATCGCTTCACTCGGCTAGCACCTAGTTAGGGCTGAAAAAAAAGCTTCTAAAGAACAGTTGAGAGTCGGAGCAAAGCATGGAGATCACTTCACTCGCTAGCGCCTCGTTAGGGCTGAAAAAAGCTTCGAAAAAGCTACATTTGGAGTATAAGATGCAGCCAAATTTTCAGCCTCTTTTGGGGGGGGGGAAAGGTGCGTCTTATACTCCGAAAAATACGGTACCTGTAGGCAGGAGGAGGCAGCTCAGTTGGGGCGCAGGGCAGGCACCACGTGGGAAGGCAGCTTAGGCAGGCAAGCCGCCCAGGAGGTGAGGAGAGACTGGGCGGGGCAGGTAGGTGGGGCGAGCGAGCGGGTGGTGACCAGGCGGACGGGTTGAGCGAGCAGCGACTGGGTGACCGGTTCGGGGGTGTGGCCAGCTAGCGGTTGCTACCAGTTCGGCGACCCAGGCCAAATTACCGCTACCGGTTATTAGCGGTATTATAATGATATTATAATTAGCATATTTTACCATATTTGGACACAGAAAGCAACATGAGATAGACAATTCGATTAGGTAATAGAATAACAGGATAACAGAGCTGGAAGGGACTTTGGAGGTCTTCTAGTCCAATCTCAAGCTCAAGCAGGACACCCTGTACATTTCAGACAAATAGTTGTCCAATCTCTTCTTGAAAACCTTCGGTGTTCACAAGCACTCACAACTTCTGGAGGCAAGTTGTTTCACCGATGAATTGTTCTCACTGACAGGAAATTTCTCCTTAATTCCAGGTTGCTTCTGTTGTTTAGTTTCCATCCGTTGCTTCTTCCTGCCCTCAGGTGCTTTGGAGAATAGGTTGACTCCCTCTTCTTTGTGGCAGCCCCTCAAATATTGGAGCATGATTATCATGTCACCCTTGGTCCTTCTTTTCATTAAGCTAGACCTACCCAATTCCAGCAAGCTTACAGTGGACTATAGAAGGAATAGATCAGGCATCCAGCTCTTGCTTATCAATGGAGACCGAGTGGAGCAAGTGGTCAGTTTTATGTTTCTGGGTGTTGTCATAAAAGAGGACCTGACATTGCAGCATTGGTGGGTTCCTCCCGGTTTGGTCCGATTCGGCCGAGCCGGTAGCGGTGACGATATGACATCACCGAACCAGTTCTCCCCCCCTCCCACCCACCCCCACGTTATTCTTACCTTTTATTTGGTCCCACCCCCAATCTATTGCTGCCTCCTGAGTCCCAGCTGATGACTAGAGGGAAAAAAACTGTTTAAACTCTTGCCGCGGGGCTTCAAAGGGCCGCTCTACAGCTGATCAGTGTTAAAAGCAAACAAATGAGTCGGGTCGTAAGCACGAGGACTGGTCGTACGTGCGAGGACCTCCCAGAAATGACTCTTTTCAGCCCTCTGAGTAGTCCCTATACACATAGCCATGGCCACCCGGTCACATGACCAGCTAGCCACGCCCACCTAGTCACATGACCTCCAAGCCACACCCACAAAATAAGCCATGCCCACAGAACCGGTAGTAAAAAAATTTAGAACCCACCCCTGCATTGTAGCATTGGTCAAAAGGGCCCAGCAGAGATTATATTACCTGAGACTTCTCAGGAAACAACAACTGAATGGAAAACTGCTGATGACCTTCTACCGCTGCACCATAGAGAGTATTTTAACTTACTGCACCTGTGTATGGTTTGCCCATGGCACAGTGGCAGATAGGACAGTGCTCCAGAGGGTCAACGTCATTGCCCAGAGGCTCATTGGTTGCCCCCTCCCCTCTTTGGAAGAGCTTTATAGTTCTCGCTGCCTTAAGAAAGTTCAAAACATCCTTAAAGATCCATCTCATCCTGGGCACTCTTTTTTTTTTTTGAACTATTACCATCTGGCAGACGGTACAGGACAATTAAAAAAAAAGGACAAATAGGCTGAAAAACAGCTTCTATCAGTGGTGGGTTCCTCCCGGTTCGGCCTGGTTCCACCGAGCCGATAGCGGTGACGATATGATGTCACCGAACCGGTTCTGCCCCCCCGCCCCCTGCCCCCCCATGTTATTCTTACCTTTTATTTGGCCCCACCCCCAATCTATTGCTGCCTCCCGAGTCCCAGCTGATCGGCTAGAAGGAAAAAAACTGTTTAAACTCTTGCTGCGGGGCTTCAAAGGGCCGCCCTACAGCTGATCAGTGTTAAAGTGTGGTGGTAGACTGGTGCCTTCAAAATCAAATGAGTCGACCGGTGCCTGAAAAAAATAAATGAGTAAATCAGTGCCTGAAAAAACAAATGAGTAGACCAGTGCCTGCAAAAAATAAATGAGTAGACCAGTGCCTGCAAAAATAAATGAGTAGACCAGTACAGCTCTGCAAGCAGTTAAAAGCCTTGTAGACCAGTACCTCTGCTAAATCCTAAAGAATTGTCACATGACAATTCAAGCCACGCCCACAAAATAAGCCACGCCCACAGAACCTGGCTTCTGTCCCAGGGCAATAACTATATTGAATTCTACAGTATAATGCAATATCAGGTTTTCAATCTCAATTATATAGAATGTAAAGGATGTATGTTTGTGTTTTTATGTTTATAGTTATAATATACACTGAAGACGGCATTTAATTTCGTTGTACCATGTGCGATGACAATAAAGTAAGGTAAAGAGTAAAGTAAAGTAAACTAAATTAAAAACTAAACTGACTAAACTAAACTAAACTAAACTAAACTAAACTAAAAGCATTCTTTATATGTTTTAGCCTCCAGCCCCCTAATCATCTTTGTTGCTCTTCTCCGCACTCGTTCCAGAGTCTCAATGTCTTTCTTATATCATAGAGATCAAGTGACACCATACCATTCTTTCCACCCATAAATGTATCGTGTGATATAATTCCAGCCAAACGTTTTATTTATTTATTTTATTTTATTTTGAATTTGTATACCGCCCTTCTCCCTGAGGACTCAGGGCGGTGAACAGCCAAGTAAAAACATCAAATACAAATATTAAAATACAGTTAAAAATATATATATAAATTTGGCCCCATTAATTAAAAACGATAAACAAAACAATTAAAACACTTAAAAAATTAGGCCTATAGAAATAGTACAGACACAAATATGGAACCTGGATATTTAACATTCTTCATATCACTTCTTCATATTTCAAAAGCATATATCTACAGTCCCAAATTAAATGGTTTTTATATTTGCTCCTTTATAACCTCTGTAAGCAAATATTTTCATTTCTTTCCAAAATCATTTAAATGCGTGTTGAAAGAACAATTATTTTAGTTTTCTAGTTTTTTTTTTTTTTAAAAAAAATAAGCAATCAGCATTTATATATATGTAGATTCTCTGTCATCCAGGACATGGTTGTCCCAAAGGTGCTTTTTGAAAAAGGCGACTGGATTTAGTTTTTCCTTGAAGAAGTTTCGCTTCTCATCCAAGAAGCTTCTTCAGTTCAGCCAGAACTGAAGAAGCTTTTTGGATGAGAGGCGAAACGTCTTCAAGGGGAAAAAAAAAAAAGGAAAAGCACATTTGTGACAATCCATTTTAAAATAGATTCATTTTAATCACGGACATGGCAAAACAATACGAGGCTGATTTTTTTTTAAAATCTCCATGTTGATTTTACAAGCTTATGTTATATGTTTGAGAGAGTGAAGCATTTTAATAACATTATTATCGATTCATTAACCATATTGTTTCTCATCCTGAAAATCTATCGGGAACAGGAATTCCTAACTTGAAATTCCAGATTGTTGGGCTTCCTGGGATTTTCCGGAATGATATTTTTTCATGGTTGCATCCAATGTCTATGGAGTTTCTCAGCCATCCAGGACATGGTTGTCCCAAAGGAGCTTTTTGAAAAAGGCGACTGGATTTAGTTTTTCCTTGGAGAAGTTTCACTTCTCATCCAAGAAGCTTCTTCAGTTCTGACAGCTGCATCTGATCTTCTTTATTAGGAAAAAGGAAGAGATGAGAAGTACAGCAGCCACTTTGCCCAGGAAAAATGCAATGTACAGAACATAGGGGGATAGTTGCAATGGTGATGGTGGGTCTGTGGAGAAAAAAAAACAGTGGATTGTTTTGATTTAATCATAATCTTAGCTTGGTTAAGGTGGGTGGCAATTAATTTTACAAACAAAACGAAACAATAAAATAAAATAAAGCCTGCTCCATCATACAGATTCCAGGGTCTCATCAGAATACTGTCAAAAACATGAAGGCAGCAGACAGTTTTCACTCCCCTACGTGTTTTATCAACTCCACTGCATGAGATCAGCCATTTTGTAAATGCAGATTACAAAATATATACTTCAATAATAGCAGAGAGACTAAAAATGAATTTATCCACTCAGACCAGAATGGATTTTTACCTAAAAGACAAGTCAAAAACAACATTTTTGACCAACAACATTTGATAATTATTTTGAATACTTTGGAGTATTATGAATAGTGGTGGGTTGCTACTGGTTCGCCCCGGATTGGCTGAACCGGTAGTGGCAGAGAGAGGCTCCGCCCACCCACCCGGATGTCTCTGCACATGCCCACGAGTGAGCCAGTAGCAGCCGAAATTGAAACCCACTACTGATTATAAAGTACACTGGGAAAAACAAATGGCATTGATCTTTTTAGATGCACAGAAAGCATTTGACAATGTAAATTGGCAATTTATGCTATTACAATTGAAATATATGGACTTTGGTGAAAAAATTATTAATTTGATTAAGGCAATATATTATAAACAAAAAACAGTGGATTGCTTTGATTTCATCATAATCTTAGCTTGGATAAAATGGGCGGCCAATAAATTTTAAAAACAAAATAAAACAATAAAATAAAGCTTGCTCCATCATTGGCCCCCACGGAGAGGGCTCGCAACTTGGGCGTCCTCCTGGATACACAGCTGTCTTTGGAAGAGCATATGACGACCTTGGCCAGGGGGGCTTTTCATCAGGTCTGCCTGATTCGCCAGTTGCGTCCCTTTCTGGATCGGGACTCCTTACGCACAGTCACTCAGGCGCTCGTCACTTCCCGCCTGGACTACTGCAATGCTCTCTACATGGGGCTCCCCTTGAGGAGCACCCGGAGGCTCCAACTGGTGCAGAATGCGGCCGCGCAGGGGATTATGGGAGCAAGATGCCTCTCCTGCGTGAGCTGCATTGGCTTCCAGTGGTCTTCCGGGTGTGCTTCAAGGTGTTGGTTACCACCTTTAGAGCGCTCCATGATGGCATCGGACCTGGGTATTTGCGAGACTGCCTTCTGCCGCTGATAGCCTCCCACCGACCAGTACGCTCCCACAGAGAGGGACTCCTCAGGGTGCCATCAGCCAGGCAATGTCGGCTGGCGACCCCCAGAGGGAGGGCCTTCTCTGTGGCGGCACCTGCCCTCTGGAACGATTTGCCCCCGGAGATACGAAGGATACCAGATCTCCGGGCCTTTCACCGTGCCCTAAAAACTTTTCTTTTCCATCAAGCAGGGCTGGCGTGAACCCCCCCACCTTTTTAGCTCTTTTTAGCTTCTTAGCTTTTAAGTGTAAATTGGGTTTTAATTGGATTGTTTTAAACTGTGGGCCAAAGCTGTATAATTCTTTTAATTGGTTTTAAATTTTGTATTGGTATGTTTTTTATCCTTGGCTGTGCACCGCCCTGAGTTCAGTAGGAGAAGGGCGGTATATAAATTGAAATAATAATAATAATAATAATAATAATAATAATAATAATAATAATAATAATAATAATAATAATAATAATAATAATACTAATACTTGGAACAGCTTACATCCTCCGACGATACCTTAACAGTTCCTAGGTCCTTAGTTAGGACTCGAGCTGCTGAACTATTAACCAGCCTCAAAGGCTGTGAATCTCACTAAAGATTAACCAATAATAATAATAATACCTATTTAAGGGTTTCATCACGCTAGGATAAAAAAACATGAAAATGGCAGATACTTTTAACTCCCCTATATTTTTTATCAACTTCACTACAGGAGATCAGCTATCTTCATTCCATCTACAGATACCAATAGCCCTTAGACTTATACACCGCTTCACAGTGCTTTACAGCCCTCTCTAAGCGGTTTACAGAATCAGCACATCGCCCCTGACAATCTGGGTCCTCATTTTATCCACCTCGGAAGGATGGAAGACAAATCTCACCAGACTCAAGGTGAGATTTGAATTGGTGAGTTCAAATCTCACCTTGAGTCTGGTGAGATTTGAACTGCCAAATTGCAGGCAGCCGGCAGTCAGCAGAAGTCGCCTGCAGTACTGCACTCTAACCACTGTGCCACTGAGGCTCTTATGGATGATGACAAAAACAACTGTGGGATCTGAGTCAACCTTGAGCCGGTCAGAATTGAACTCCTGTCAGTGAACAGAGTTAACCTACAATACTGCATTCTAATCACATCACCATCACATCTTAGATGTAGATGTAAATAAAAAAAAATATTTTTTTTTTACACAGATGTGCAACATATTGATTTTCTTCTCTCTCTCTCTCTTTTTTTTAAAAAACCCGACCTCTTCATTTCAAGGCATCTTACAAAACTTGTCTTCATCCCATTCAAAACCTATTTTTGCTTACATCCCACAAGGAAAAGAAATGATACCTGATTTTTAAAAGAAAAGATTGATATTTATAAACCCTTTCCTATTGGAAACTGACTCATTCTGCGGTCTTCACTACTTAGAATGAATATTGCTTCTTTCTAAATCCATAATTTGCTTCCAAAAAAATCCACACTTCCTTCTTTCTCTCGTTTTCTCCTATTTTTATAACTCCAACCTCGTTCCAAAATGGTTCAGTGGAAAAGATCTCCAGAGAAGAACCTTCTCCAATATCTTGATTCTTTGATGGGATTGCAGTCCAGCACATTGACAGCAATAGCTCTAGCACTTAGACAAGGGTTGAAATGCCCCCGGGTTCGGACCGGATCGCCCAATCCAGTAGCGATTGGCGGCGGGTGGTTCGGAGAACCGGTAGCAAAAATCCCTGCCCCCCCATGCCCAGCTGAGCCATGCGATCATCAGAGGGTTTTTTTTCTTTTTACTTTTAAAAACATTTTTTCTTCGCCCGAAAAAATGCTTTTAAAAGTAAAAAGAAAAAAAAAAGCCTCTGATGATCGCACGGTTCAGCTAGGATCGTCAGAGCCTTTTAAAAGCATTTTTTTTACAACCTCTTCAGCAGATTGCTTCCCCCCTCCACAACAATCTGGGTCCTCATTTTATGGACCTCGGAAGGATGGAAGGCTGAGTCAACCTTGAGCCTGATGAGATTCGATCTGCCAAACTGCTGGCAGCTGGTGATCAGCAAAAGTAGTCTGCAGTACTGCACTCTAACCACTGCGCCACCAAGGCTCATGTTATGAAGAGAAAATGCAACAGAAAACACAAATATTCCTGGGAAGGGGCTCGGTATATGACAAGCCCTTCCTTCTGAAGCTCCCCTGTTTCAAAACCTTAAGTATATTAAAGAAAGACTATTTAAATCATGATATATTAAGGAGTAATACAATCAAATCTTTTTAAAAAACGACCTGAAAAACAAATGGAAAAGCTGCAAAGTGTAAATCAGCAAATTCTCAGAAGAAAGCAAAAGACACTTACTTCCTTCAAGTTCCTGTGTAATGAAGAGCGTGGTGGTTTTGTTGACCAGAGGCTGGGAATCATGCTGGACCTGACAAAGGAACATGGAGAACTCCCTGTCTTCGGTGGCCATCATCTCTAGGTTGCTTTTGAGGGAAAAGGTCCCATCGGGATTCAAGATACTCGGTGCAACCGTTCCTTTTCTGCTTGGGGCATCCTTGGGAAACAACTCCATTGTTGCACCATCTGGGTAAAAGCTTTCTGCGTTGCAAGTGACTGTCACCGAGGAGTTCAGCTGGATGGGAGGAGGTGGGTTGATCTCAAGATGCACCTTGGGAGGAACTGAGCAAAGAAAGCCAAAGACGATCAATCAAAAGAGCTTCGGACTCCTGGTTCCTCCAAGCAGAATGGGGTGGAAGTCCAAAGTGATTCTGCTCTCCCATTGTGGCATTGGGGAAATCATTCCAGGACAATTACCGTATTTTTCGGAGTATAAGACACACCTTCCCCCCCCAAAAAAGAGGGTGAAAATCAGGGTGCGTCTTATACTCCGAATGTAGCCCCGCCCAGCCTCGCAAACAGAGATTTCAGAGGCAGAAAGAAGCCTCTGAAAGAAACAGAGCTTCAGAAAAAAAGCCTCCAAACAGAGCTTCAGAAAAAAAAGCCTTTTTTTTTCTGAAGCTCTGTTTTGTAGGCTTTCAGAGGCAGAAAAAAAAGTTCTTTCTGAAACGGAGTTTCAAAAGTTTCAGAGGCAAAAAAAAACAAAAAAAACAAGGCACAGAACTCATAAGCAACGAACCTGTTGCTAAAATTCACCTCTGAAAACAGCTGATTGGGGGTATTCTGGAAGGCCGATCCATCCGCCAATCAGCTTTTTTCTTATTTTCCTCCCCAAAAACTAAGGTGCATCTTATACTCCAAAAAATACAGTAAGTCTCTGGGGAAAGAGCCAGAGATATTGTGTTTTCCCAAAAATAAGACCCGATCTTATTTTATTTTGGGCCTCAAAATAAGCACCAGGTCTTATTTTCAGGGGATGTCTTACCCGTTTAGAGACCACTAAGGTTGGTGCTGCCAGACATGGCAGGACACCGCATGGCCTGTCATGCCAGTGCCACAGCTCATGGCATGACCCGCAAGGCTCATCACACCAGTTCGGCAGCTCATGACAGGAGGCTGCATGGTGTGCTGTGCCATTACGCGCATGAATGGCAACACTGCTGTGATGTGCCAAGCAGCGTTCTGCCATAAGCGGTGACACTGGTGTGATGCACCATGTGTCATCCAGGCAGCAGCGCAACAGGTGTCAGGACGTGGGAGGCGTGGCTGCGGTGGTCCTAAGGTAAGTGTGTGCAGGCCACGTGGGGCAGCTCCAGTCCCCCACCCCTGCCCTAGCTTTTTTTTTTTAATTTGACTTACATGCTGCCCTTCTCCGGAGACTCAGGGTGGCTTACAATGCATTAAACAATAGCCTTCATACTTTTTGTATATTTATACAAAGTCAGCTTACTGCCCCCACAACTGGATCCTCAATTTACCAACCTTAGAAAGGATGGAAGGCTGAGTCAACCTTGAGCCTGGTGAGATTCGAACTTACAGTAATTTCAGACAGCTGGTGTTAATCACAATGCTATCAGTCTGCTGAGCCACCAGCTTGATTTTTATGCATACGCCTCACCCAACCTTGTACAACCAGACGGTGGACGGGACTTAATTAGGGATTATTTTGGAAGGGGTAGGTCTTATATTAGGTGCAGACTTGAAAATCGGACTAGGGCTTGTTTTCGGGGTAGGCCATATTTTGGAGGAAACACAGTAGAAGGACATTCAAAAAACCTGTTCCCCGGAACCACCGCCCTGTGGGGGAGCTTCAGTTGAGAAAGCATGACTGGTCTTGATGGGCATCCATGGGTCGAGAATTTTATTCTTCCTGGTGGAATTCCTTCTACATGAAGGGCCCTCTACTAGGTTGGGACCTCGTGGCCTCAGCCTCTCTGCAACCCAAGGTTCACCTACCGCTTATGACATCACGAAGTGCGAAGGTCTGCTGGAGAGGACTGTCCAACGATCTGTGTTGGATCTGGCAGGTCAGCTGAGATTTCACGTCTCCTTGCTCCAGCGGGATTATCAACCTGCTCTCCACTTTGTATGACATGCTCTCTGTTCCATCAGAGTCCAGGTTGCTGATCTGGTCAACCTGTTTCTCTTTCCCATCCTTCAACCAGCTGACTGTGATCTCTCGGGGGGAGAATCCATTTGAGGAGCAGTCGAAGGAGGCCAGAGACCCCACCGTGATTCTTCTTGTGGGGCCACGAATCAAGGGCTGGGATGGCTTGGCTGAGGGAGAAAGTAGAGAGAGAGAGATATCAGTTGATGTTTCTCAGAGACAATAAAATAGAATTGCATAGAATAGAGTAGAGTAGAGTAGAGTAGAGTAGAGTAGAGTAGAGTAGAGTAGAATAGAATAGAATAGAATAGAATAGAATAGAATAGAATAGAATAACTTTATTGGCCAAGTGTGATTGGACACACAAGGAATTTGTCTTTGGTGCATACGCTCTCAGTGTACATAAAAAGAGAAGATACGTTCGTCAAGAATCATAAGGTACAACACTTAATGATAGTCATAGTGGGCAAATAAGCAATCAGGAAACAATATCAATATAAATCGTAAGGATCCAAGCAACAAACTTACAGACATACAGTCATAAGTGGGAGGAGATGGGTGATAGGAACGATGAGAAGATTAATAGTAATGCAGACTTAGTGAATAGTTTGACAGTGTTGTGGGAATGAGTTGTTTAGCAGAGTGATGGCATTTGGAAAAACTGTTCTTGTGTCTAGTTGTTCTGGTGTGCAGAGCTCTATAGAGTCATTTTGAGGGTAGGAGTTGAAACAATTTATGTCCAGGATGTGAGGGGTCTGTAAATATTTTCAATACAGGAGTCTCCAAGATTTATCTTGGACAGAGAGACTCAGCTTCCCACATGTCTCTCTTTTGACTGGGGATATCTAACTTTTGTGCATGTCCAAGATGGCGGCGTCCACTGGGATTGTGATCTGAGGATGGGGCGCCGACCTACCTTTTGGGTCTTTCGGGGGTCGTTTTGAAGATCCATGACCCCAGAACCAGTCAGGGGAGCTCCCTACCAGCACGGAGAGGGTCTTCTTTCCCTCCGTGACTGAGCAGGGAGGAAGGCGCAATGTTGGAAGTGACAGGCTTCTCAGCTGGGCATCGGCAGCATTTTTCACAGCTGGAGATCATTGGATAATCGGAGCGGCGTTGTGCCGGGGGTGCCCACCGCGCAGCGAGTTTCTAAGCCTGGGGGGGTTGCCCGAAGAGCTGCAAGACGTGTCGGGCACCCCCCGAAGATCTCTGGGACGTCAACAGGTTCTTTCGGTGTTGGCGACGATGGCGCGGTGGCAGCGGCGATGGCGGTTGCAGTGGAGGCTGGCTGGTGGTCAGAAAGCGCTGGCGACCCCCCCCTTGGAGTTGGAGTTGGGGGGGCGACGAATCAACAGGACTGGGAGACCTGCAACCACGGTTGGGGCAGAAAGGACCTGGAGTGACTTTTTCCCAGGCCTTGGGAGGCCTCAATTTGTGGTTGTGCGGGGGCCGGGGGCTCGAGACAACTGTCCCATTTCTGCCTCATTTCTCTCTCCTCCAGCGTTCCCCTTTTAGGACTGGGCCCATCTGGACCAACTGTCAGCCTGTGGGACTCATTGGCGCTATGTACTATCACTATTGTGAACCTTCCCTGACTCTGGAGAGGGCTATTTCCATCTGAATGGGAGGCTCGTACATGGCTGCATCCCGTCGGCTGAGGGGGGCTAGACATCTGTTTGACCACTATGAGAGGGTGGCCGGGTGTCGGAGCCTCCTGGGGGCTGAACCGGGAGGTTTTTACATATATGCACTTTGCCAGCGGTGGAGACTTGACCATCGGACTAACCGCCGTGAGAGGGCGATTTTTGGACCTGACCCCCAGACGCTGTCTATACGCATCGGTTCATCGCTGCCATCTCACCACATGAGGGGGCTGACCAGCTGACCTAACCACCGTGAGAGGGTGGTTGGATCTATTTCCCCCTTGGATTGTGGTTGTCTTGGTTTTGGACTATGTCCTCTGTTGTGAGGGGACAGTGGACTCGGTCCTGCAAATATGTCTTTGAGATCCCCCATTCCTTTGTCTTCTCCCTGGTCCCTTTTTTATAGACCCTCAGGATATGGTCATGCTACCCGTTATGGTCAATGTACTCAGCAGCGGAGCTTCTTGGTCTGCGAGACTCCCTCCTCTTGCAGGCTTGGCCCTCCATTCTATCGAGGGCCTACTTCGATGACGGGCTTTGGAACCCCGAGAGGTGGCATGTCGCAAAGAGGAGGCTGCGGGGTTTTTTTAAATTGTCTTTGTCTAATCTTTTAAGGGGTCTGGGGAGGGGGAGGGGGTGGGATTGGAATTAGGGTTGTGGGTTTGGGGGATAACCCACCAAGGGGAGGGTCGGGCCAGGCCATGATGTTCGGCGGGGTGGAGATCCGGAGGGGGTCGAGCTTGTCCAGACTGTGTTTTTACCATCGGTACTGTGAGTGGGAGGAGTAGATATGGTGGGTGCAGGGGGCCATATCATGTTAAGGGAGGACGCACCCGCTGTCTCCAAGTGGTAGGGTGCTCCGGCCCCCAAGGCTCCACTCGTTCTCCAGGTAGTACAGACCTTCAGGGCCCTTCGTCTGATGCTGTGCAATGCCAGGTCCATAGTAAATAAAGCCCCCTTCATCTGTGATCTTGTTCATGAGGGGGCAGCGGACCTGGCGGGTATTAAGGAGACCTGGTTGGGCCTGGAGGGAGGGGTCCCTCTGGTAGAAATGTGCCCATCAGGCTTCCACGCATTCCATCAGCTGAGGTCACAGGGGAGGGGCGGGGGAGTAGCGGTTATTATTAGAGAAGGCCTTAGGCCGAGGGAGACCACTGTTCCTCAGACGGCCGGTTGTGAGTCCCTCCTTGTGAAGTGGGGCCACGGGGTTCAGATGGGTTTGCTGATCACGTACCTGGCTCCCTGCCACATGGCGGCAGCCCTGCCCGAGCTACTCAATGTTATCGCTGCAGTGGTGGTTGATACCCCCAGACTTATGGTCATGGGGGATTTCAACCTGCCATCCGTGGGTGAGGCATCTGAGGTGGCTTGGGAGTTCATGGCTTCCATGACGGCCATGGACCTGACCCAACTAATTCATGGCCCTACGAACATCGGGGGAAACACACTGGACTTGGTTTTTGTCTCTGGATAGTGGTTGAGTGATCTCGAGATAGGGGATATAGTCATCGAGCCCTTGTCATGGTCGGATCACTCTCTCCTTCGCCTTGACCTTCGAACCGCGGCACCCGCTGCAGGGAGGCGGAACTGATAAGATGGTACCACCCCAGGTGCCTGATGGAACCTGACAGGTTCCAGATGGAGCTTGGGCCAATCCCGGAGGTTCTGGCTCACGCCTCGAGTGGGGACCTAGTGGCCGCCTGGGATAGGGCAGCTGATGGAGCTCTGGACCAAGTCGTGCCTTTGCGGCCTCTGGTTCCTTGGTTCACCGAGGAGCTGAGGGAGATGAAGCGCCGGAAAAGACGCCTAGAGAGCTGTTGGAGGGCTAATCTTTCTGAATTGGACCGAACACTGGTAAGATCTCATATTAGGAATTACCTAGTGGCGATAAAAGCAGCAAAATGTACTCACTTTGCTGCTCTTATTGCGTCATCAGATAATCGCCCAGCCACCTTGTTTAGGGTGACCCGCTCCCTGCTCCACCAGGAAGCGCGGGAGGACCCCTTGGAGGGAAGAGCCGAGGATTTTGTTCAGTATCTGCAGGACAAAATCACTCAGATTCGGGCAGGTCTGGACTCTGACTGGGTAGATCCAGCAAGGGTGACGGAGGCAGGGCTTGAGACTATTATCTGGGATGAGTTTGATCCTGTGACCCCAGATGATGTGGACAGGATTCTGGGTAGATTGAACGTGACCACATGCTTGTTGGACCTGTGTACCTCTTGGTTAGTGCTGGCTTCCCGGGAGGTGACGCGAGGCTGGCTCCAGGGGATTATAAATGCTTCACTTGGTGAGGGTGTCTTCCCCGCCGCCCTGAAGGAGGCGGTGGTAAGGCCCCTCCTCAAGAAGCCTTCCCTGGATCCGGCAGTATTGGCTAATTATCGTCCAGTCTCCAACCTTTGCTTCGTGATGAAGGTTGTTGAGAGTGTGGTTGCACGACAGTTTCCCCAGTACCTGGATGAAGCGTCGTATCTGGATCCGTTCCAGTCGGGTTTCAGGCCTGGGTACAGCACAGAAACGGCATTGGTCGCGTTGGTTGATGATCTCTGGAGGGCTCGGGACAGGGGCTGCTCCTCTGTCCTGGTCCTGTTAGATCTCTCAGCGGCTTTTGATACCATCGACCATGGTATCATGCTGCACCGGTTGGAAGGGGTGGGGGTGGGAGGCACCATTTTATGGTGGTTCTCCTCCTTTCTCTCTGACCGGTCACAGTCTGTGTTGACAGGGGGGCAGAGATCGACCCCGAGGCCCCTTATATGTGGGGTGCCACAGGGATCGGTCCTCTCGCCCCTTTTGTTCAACATTTATGTAAAGCCGCTGGGTGAGATCATCTGTGGTTTCGGGGTGAAGTACCATCAGTACGCTGACGACACCCAGCTGTACAACTCCACCCCGGACCACCCCAACGATGCCCTTGAAGTGATGTCCCAGTGCCTGGAACCCATATGGATTTCGATGGGGAGAAACGGGCTCAGGCTCAACCCATCCAAGACTGAGTGGCTGTGGTTTCCGATGTCCTGATATAGTCAGCTGGTGCCATCGTTGGCTATTGGGGGTGAATCATTGGCCCACACGGAAAGGGCTCGTAACTTGGGCGTCCTCCTGGATTCACGGCTGTCTTTAGAAGAGCACTTGATGGCCGTGACCGGGAGGATTTTTCATCAGGTTCGCCTGATTTGCCAGTTGCGTCCCTTTCTAGATCGGGACTCCCTAAGCACAGTCACTCATGCCCTCGTCACCTCTCATCTGGACTATTGTAATGCTCTCTACATGGGGCTCCCCTTGAGGTGCACTCGGAGGCTCCAACTGGCGCAGAGTGCGGCCGCGCGGGTGATTATGGGAGCGGCGTGGAGTTCCTATGTAACACCTCTCCTGCACGAGCTGCACTGGCTCCCGGTGGTCTTCCGGGTGCGCTTCAAGGTTTTGGTCACCACCTTTAAAGCGCTCCATGGCTTAGGACCTGGTTATTTACGGGACCGCCTGCTACCACCAATAGCCTCCCACCAGCCAGTACGCTCCCACAGAGAGGGGCTCCTCTGGGTGCCGTCAGCCAAACAATGTCTGCTGTTGGCCCCTAGGGGGAGAGCCTTCTCTGTGGGGGCACCTACGATCTGGAACGAGCTCCCCCTGGAGATACGGAGGATCCCGGATCTGCGCACCTTCCGCTGCGAGCTTAAGATTCTTTTATTTCATCAAGCTGGCCTAGCCTAAATCTTCTCCCTTTTAAGTGTAAATTTTAAATTTTAGTGTGTTTTAAAATATGGGTATTTTAAATTAAGGGTATTTTAAATTCAGCCAAATTTATTTAATTCATTTTATTCAATTTTAAATTTTTTGTATGTATGTGTTTTATTTCATGGCTGTTCACCGCCCTGAGTCCTTTGGGAGTAGGGCGGTATAGAAATTTAATAAATAAAAATAAATAAAAAATAAATAAACATCTCCCTCCATCCCCAGAAATCAAATGTAGAAGGCCACTTACCAATCACGGAGACCAGAGTGCCTTTCCCCGAAGCCAGCTCTCTCTCTGGGTTCCCTGCCCTGAACTTCACACAATAGTAGGTCCCGGCATCTTCAGGACGGATGTTTCGGATGTTGATGCTGAAGTCCGTGTTGGATCCTGGGATGACCCTGACCCCCCTGTTGGAAGATCCTTGTTTATCGCTGTAAATGGGGGTCTTGTTTCTGTCCAGCCCTTTGTACCACCGCACGCCTCCAGGTAAAAATCCTCCAGTGAATGTACACCTTAGAGTCAGGTCCTCTCCAGCTTTCACCAATACGATTTCCGGAAGTTGGGTTATCTCTATGTTCTGTCCTGTAACAACTGAAACAAAAAAGAGACACTTTTGTAACCGGGTTTCCTCTAGAAAGTGGTCACCACTCTTCTGGGGCAAAAGGACCATTGGTGGTCTCCTTCGGACAGAAGAATTATTTGCATTTCCTGAATGCCAACCTTCTGGCTTATGATCTGGCCATTCTTGAATGCAGAGGGCTCATTTATACAGTGGGCGAGTTTTGCATTTTATTCGCTTTTATTCAACTTGTATCTTTCTAGGGTGTTTTAGTATAAACTGCCTCAGGAGTTTCAGCTCCTAGGCAGTTTTAAAATGTTCAAAAATAAAATAAAATAAAATAAATAACAAAACAAAACAAAACAAATAATAAATAAAATAAATAAAATAAAATAATAAAATAATAAAGTAATAAAATAATAAAATAATAAAATAAAATAATATATAATAAAATAAAATAAAATAAAATAAAATAAAATAAAATAACAATAGTGGATGTGGCACTGCCTGGAAACAGCAGAATAGAAGATAACAAAATACAAAGACCTACAAATAGAAATAGAACGACTGTGGCAAAGGCAAGCAAGGGTAGAACCAGTAGTCATAGGTGCCTTGGGTGCAATCGCAAAACAACTGGAGCACCACTTGAATACCATCGGCATTGACAAATTTGCCATCAATCAATTGCAGAAGGCAGCTTTCCTTGGAACAGCTTCCATCCTGTGACGATATCTGTAACACCGTCAAACATCCAGATTTCTCTATCCCAGGTCCTTGGTAAGGACTCAATTTATATATATAAAAGTGAAATACACTCATGCATCATCACAAAATGTCCGGAACCGTAAAGCCTATAAACGTGAAATTTGCCACGTATGTTCCTCTTGGCTTCTAGATGCTCACTAAGAAAGGATTGTTCAAAATGACAATCAGAGCATCAGTATTTCCTATAGTATGATTAATATGCTCTGATGCTAAGGAGTTCTACTCACCCTACCCACCTGAAAAGAAATCTGTTCCAAATGCAAAACACAAGCAGAGGAGAGGAGTTTCAGTTTTACTTTCACAGCAGCAAGCAGCTTTACTACAGAACAGTTGAACTAAGTCACAGCCAGGCTCCTTCCTGTCTCCTTCTTGCTCACACAGCAAATACTGTTTCACTTTCCAAACAGCCCTCTGATGCTAAGGAGTTCTACTCCCCATTCCCACCTGAAAAGAAATTTGTTCCAAATGCAAAACACAAGCAGAGGAGAGGCGTTTCAGTTTCAGTTTTACTTTCACAGCAGCAAGCAGGGGATAGAATAGGGGAGGCTTCTGTGGGGCAAGGTGTTGTGGTCCGCCAGCAGCCTGCAGAGCTGGCAGTGGAGTCGGACAGTGGGGAGGCTGGGGAGGACAATGGGCCAGTCCTGGAGTCAGGGGAAGGTGCCGGAGGCAGAGAGCTCTGTGCCGGAGGCAGAGATGGGGCCAGGGCCATCGGGGAGTGATGTGCAGACTCCGGAGCCTCCAGTGTCAGTCAACAGAGAGGCAGAGGAACAGGAGGAGCCTGTTCCTAGTGCACGCATGCACAGAGCTGCCAGAAGGCAAGAGCAGCTAAAGGAAAAAGGACGATTTGGGAGTAAGGCCAGGAGATGATTGGCCCCTCCCATAAAGGCTTAAAAGAGCAGCAACGGCTCTTGGGATCTTTGTAGGAAAGCAACATTGCTACATTTTGTTTCTTGTCAGCTTCTCTTGCTTCTGAAGTTTTTCCAAGAAAAGCCTTTGACAGAGTGCCAAATAAGACAAAGGTTGGTGATAAGGCCGAAGGCTTGTTTATGAAAAATTTGTTTTGAAATTAATTTGGATTAAGCTGAGAATGAAGTAATTCTCAGCTGTTCTAATAAAATATGTTTATTTAGGACTGATTGTGTCTGATAGTTACTACTTGGTCACAACACAAGGCTGAGGGAGAGAAGGGGATAGGATAGGAGAGGCTTCTGTGGGGCAAGGCTGAGGGAGAGAAGGGGATAGGATAGGAGAGGCTTCTGTGGGGCAAGGCTGAGGGAGAGATGGAGGATAGGATAGGAGAGGCTTCTGTGGGGCAAGGCTGAGGGAGAGATGGGGGATAGGATAGGAGAGGCTTCTGTGGGGCAAGGCTGAGGGAGAGATGGAGGATAGGATAGGAGAGGCTTCTGTGGGGCAAGGCTGAGGGAGAGATGGGGGATAGGATAGGATAGGCTTCTGTGGGGCAAGGCTGAGGGAGAGATGGGGGATAGGATAGGATAGGCTTCTGTGGGGCAAGGCTGAGGGAGAGAAGGGGGATAGGATAGGATAGGCTTCTGTGGGGCAAGGCTGAGGGAGAGAAGGGGGATAGGATAGGAGAGGCTTCTGTGGGGCAAGGCTGAGGGAGAGATGGGGGATAGGATAGGATAGGCTTCTGTGGGGCAAGGCTGAGGGAGAGAAGGGGATAGGATAGGAGAGGCTTCTGTGGGGCAAGGCTGAGGGAGAGATGGGGGATAGGATAGGATAGGCTTCTGTGGGGCAAGGCTGAGGGAGAGATGGGGGATAGGATAGGATAGGCTTCTGTGGGGCAAGGCTGAGGGAGAGAAGGGGGATAGGATAGGATAGGCTTCTGTGGGGCAAGGCTGAGGGAGAGAAGGGGGATAGGATAGGAGAGGCTTCTGTGGGGCAAGGCTGAGGGAGAGATGGGGGATAGGATAGGATAGGCTTCTGTGGGGCAAGGCTGAGGGAGAGAAGGGGATAGGATAGGAGAGGCTTCTGTGGGGCAAGGCTGAGGGAGAGATGGGGGATAGGATAGGGGAGGCTTCTGTGGGTCAAGGCTGAGGGAGAGATGGGGGATAGGATAGGAGAGGCTTCTGTGGGGCAAGGCTGAGGGAGAGATGGGGGATAGGATAGGAGAGGCTTCTGTGGGGCAAGGCTGAGGGAGAGATGGGGGATAGGATAGGGGAGGCTTCTGTGGGGCAAGGCTGAGGGAGAGATGGGGGATAGGATAGGAGAGGCTTCTGTGGGGCAAGGCTGAGGGAGAGATGGGGGATAGGATAGGAGAGGCTTCTGTGGGGCAAGGCTGAGGGAGAGATGGGGGATAGGATAGGAGAGGCTTCTGTGGGGCAAGGCTGAGGGAGAGATGGGGGATAGGATAGGAGAGGCTTCTGTGGGGCAAGGCTGAGGGAGAGATGGAGGATAGGATAGGAGAGGCTTCTGTGGGGCAAGGCTGAGGGAGAGATGGGGGATAGGATAGGAGAGGCTTCTGTGGGGCAAGGCTGAGGGAGAGATGGAGGATAGGATAGGAGAGGCTTCTGTGGGGCAAGGCTGAGGGAGAGATGGGGGATAGGATAGGAGAGGCTTCTGTGGGGCAAGGCTGAGGGAGAGATGGGGGATAGGATAGGATAGGCTTCTGTGGGGCAAGGCTGAGGGAGAGAAGGGGGATAGGATAGGAGAGGCTTCTGTGGGGCAAGGCTGAGGGAGAGATGGGGGATAGGATAGGATAGGCTTCTGTGGGGCAAGGCTGAGGGAGAGAAGGGGATAGGATAGGAGAGGCTTCTGTGGGGCAAGGCTGAGGGAGAGATGGGGGATAGGATAGGGGAGGCTTCTGTGGGTCAAGGCTGAGGGAGAGATGGGGGATAGGATAGGAGAGGCTTCTGTGGGGCAAGGCTGAGGGAGAGATGGGGGATAGGATAGGAGAGGCTTCTGTGGGGCAAGGCTGAGGGAGAGATGGGGGATAGGATAGGGGAGGCTTCTGTGGGGCAAGGCTGAGGGAGAGATGGGGGATAGGATAGGAGAGGCTTCTGTGGGGCAAGGCTGAGGGAGAGATGGGGGATAGGATAGGAGAGGCTTCTGTGGGGCAAGGCTGAGGGAGAGATGGAGGATAGGATAGGAGAGGCTTCTGTGGGGCAAGGCTGAGGGAGAGATGGGGGATAGGATAGGAGAGGCTTCTGTGGGGCAAGGCTGAGGGAGAGATGGAGGATAGGATAGGAGAGGCTTCTGTGGGGCAAGGCTGAGGGAGAGATGGGGGATAGGATAGGAGAGGCTTCTGTGGGGCAAGGCTGAGGGAGAGATGGGGGATAGGATAGGAGAGGCTTCTGTGGGGCAAGGCTGAGGGAGAGATGGGGGATAGGATAGGATAGGCTTCTGTGGGGCAAGGCTGAGGGAGAGATGGGGGATAGGATAGGATAGGCTTCTGTGGGGCAAGGCTGAGGGAGAGAAGGGGGATAGGATAGGATAGGCTTCTGTGGGGCAAGGCTGAGGGAGAGAAGGGGGATAGGATAGGAGAGGCTTCTGTGGGGCAAGGCTGAGGGAGAGATGGGGGATAGGATAGGATAGGCTTCTGTGGGGCAAGGCTGAGGGAGAGAAGGGGATAGGATAGGAGAGGCTTCTGTGGGGCAAGGCTGAGGGAGAGATGGGGGATAGGATAGGGGAGGCTTCTGTGGGGCAAGGCTGAGGGAGAGATGGGGGATAGGATAGGAGAGGCTTCTGTGGGGCAAGGCTGAGGGAGAGATGGGGGATAGGATAGGAGAGGCTTCTGTGGGGCAAGGCTGAGGGAGAGATGGGGGATAGGATAGGGGAGGCTTCTGTGGGGCAAGGCTGAGGGAGAGATGGGGGATAGGATAGGAGAGGCTTCTGTGGGGCAAGGCTGAGGGAGAGATGGGGGATAGGATAGGAGAGGCTTCTGTGGGGCAAGGCTGAGGGAGAGATGGAGGATAGGATAGGAGAGGCTTTTGTGGGGCAAGGCTGAGGGAGAGAAGGGGAGAGGAGAGGCCAATCATAACCACTCATTAATTTTCAAGCTGTAAATGTCGATTTATCAAGCCTGATCACATAGTTTCATAATGGAGCACGGGTATTCAGCTAGTAGGTAGATAAAAATGCCAAACCCAGTCTTCTCATAATGTAAAAAATACGATTTACCTGTATCCAAAAAGTCATGGGAACATCAAGTGGAAAAAGTTGTCAAAAATGAGAAGATGAAGATCTTGTGGGACTTCTGAATACAAACAGATCGTCATTTGGAACTCAACACGTCAGATATCACAGTTGTCGAAAACCAAAAAGTACAATTTATTGACATCGCAGTACCAGGAGACGCCAGAGTCCAAGAAAAAGAACTGGAAAAACTTATGAAATATCGTGCCCTGGCCATCGAAATTACACAGCTATGGATGAAACATGTAACAGTGACACCCATTGTCATCGGGGCACTTGGTACTGTAGGAAGTTAGCACCCACCCCTTTCCTGGAAGAGTGAAATATTTTAGGAAATATGAAAAAGGCAGAATATTATATTTCCCTGGATGAGAAATGGAGAAGCATGTTTTAAAGCAGCTCCCACCTTCCTGCCCCCCCACCCTTTGTCAATGGGCCATTAAGGCTTGGGCCAGTCTCTTCTACATAACAAAGATCTACCTCCTTCAGGCAGAGCCATAGTAGGAATTGCCAAAGATCCAACAAAGATAGGATTAGCCCTCTACACAATAGCAGCAGAAACTCACCACATGTGACCTGGGAAGCACATGTGACCATCGGCTAGCTAAGACCCCCCCACCCCCTGGGAGTCTAACAACCAATCAGGATACTCTTTCGGGCCCCCAAGAAATGCAGAGCCAGAGAGAGCATAAAATCCTGAGGATTTACTGTATCAGCCCCTTTTCTATTCAGGAACTCAAGCCATGTGATCCTGTCCACCATTAAACCATCTTTCCAAGCAGTCTCCATGTCTCCAGTGTCCGTTTCCCCACTTGGAGCAGAACCTAGAAGGATGTTTCTTCCAACAGTACCATGTCCAAGAATTTTATAAGATACATCAGCAAATTCCTGCAATAACACCAGTGGAACTGCAAAAAATTGCACTACTTGGAACATCGTACATCTTAAGAAGGTACTCGGTTGATCCCTAGGACGCTGGCAGCAACCCGTATCGACCATTAGCACCAGTCAATGGTATTTGTGATGCATTTTTGAATGTTCAGTTGACTGAGCTTCATATTTGGTGAATAAAATAAATAATAATAATAATAACAACAACTCTTTACTTATGTATGATCCTTCCAACCTTGTTCTTGACAATTCTTCATAGCTATGAATTTTAATTTGGAATTGCTCAGATTGTGCTTCTGAAAACTCTGTAGTCAGACTTCGGCATACATTGATCGATTGATTTGTTAGTTGATAATATAAAATACAAAAATAGGAAAGAAAATGGTAGGAAAGCAAGGGAGGGAAAAGGGAAGGGAAGAGTGTAGGGAAAAGGTCTATTGGGATTCTCAGTCATCCAGTCATGATTGTCCCAAAGGTGCTTTTTCAAGAGGCAACTGGACTTCAAAGAATAAGAAGCAAATCCAGTTGCCTCTTGAAAAAGCACCTTTGTAAGGAAAAGAGGAAAAAGAAAAGAGAGGGCTGGAAAAAACGGTCATAAGTCACTTCTTTCAGTGCCGCCGTAAGTGGAGAGCTACCTGTATGCACAGGTAATTAGGGATCCTGTTTGTCATGGCTGCGTGGACCCAAACCCCACCCTCAGACAAGTGATTGTACCAAGGGTTTTGATCAGTTTTGGGTTCCATTTTAGGTACAATCACTTTCCACCACAATATTTCTCCTTTTACTGTGTTGAATTCTGCAGGAAAGTCTATAAAGGCTGCAAACAGTCATTTCCCCATATTGAAGTATTTTGTAGTTAGATGGTTCAAGGCAGTGGTGGGATTTAATTTTTTTAAGAACTGGTTCTGTGGTTGTGGCTTGGTGGTCATGTGACTGGGTGGGCATAGCTGGGTGGTCATGTGACTGGGTAGGCGTGGCTGGATGGGCATTTGATTGGGTGGGCATGACCAACTTGACATCACTCACGTCAAAGGGTGCCTTGCCTGGCCTCTCCTCATGTCAAAGGCCTCAAAGACAGGGGTGAAATGCTCCCGGTTCGGACCGGATCGCCTGATCCGGTAGTGATGGCGGTGGGTGGTTCGGAGAACCGGTAGCAAAAATCCCTGCGCCCCCCACCCCTCCATGCCCAGCTGAGCTGCAGGATTATCGGAGGCTTTTTTTTTTTTTTAACTTTTAAAAGCATTTTTTCTACAACCTCTTCCGACGAAAAAAATGCTTTTAAAAGTAAAAAAAAAAAAAGCCTCTGATGATCGCGCGGCTCAGCTGGGATCGTCAGAGGCTTCTAAAAGCATTTTTTTCTGCAACCTCTTGGCCGAAGAGGTGGTAAAAAAAGTGCTTTGAAAAGTCTCTGACGATCCCAGGTGAGTTGCCTGATCGGCAGAGAGGCTTTTCAAAACATTAGAAAAAATGCTTTGAAAAGTTAAAAAAAAAAAAATTAGCCATGCCCACCCAGTCACATTACCCCCCCACCAAGCAATGCCCACACAAATAGTAACAAATTTTACATTTTACTCCTGCTTTCCCTGCCTATTTATTTATTACTACTGAACATCCCAAATACACTATTTAATCCTATGTATAGGATTACACATCCAGAGTCCACTTTCTGTCACACATTGAACTATAACGTCTGTACATTAGAACATTACACACGCCTTCAGATTTACTTCCGTAGCCTGCACATGACTGTTAGAGCCAGGAGAGGTCATGGATTGAGTAAAATGTGGTGAAACCCACTTAACAACGCTCTTGCTTAGCAACCAAAATTTTGGGCTCAATTATGGTCATAAGTCAAGGATTGTCTCTGCCTTCTCCTGCATGGCAGCCGTGTCCTAGTAAACTCCTTCTCCTTTCTGGCAATTTTCCTCTCTGTTAGAGGCACCAAAATAATCCAGACGATATAAGGTTTCCTGTTGGAGCGGGGGGTTGGACTAGATGGCCTCCAAGGTGCCTTCTAACCCTACTATTCTATGATTCCATAAGGATCTCCTGCTGTAGCAGGAGGTTGGACTAGATGGCCTTCAAGATCCCTTCCAGCCCTAGATTGCTGTGCTGTTTCAAAGTGTCTTCTGAAGCCATGTCTAGGGTTTGTGGTCCTCCCTTCCTCTTCTTTCTCTTTCTCTCTCTCTCCCTTCCTTCCTCCCTCCCTCCCTTCATATATCTATCTATCCATCCATCCATCCATCCATGCAACTATATGTCATTCACTTTCCCCTCCCTCCGTAAAGGGGATTTAGAGAAAGATAGATAATAAAGGTATTAATCCCTGTCCATTTTGAGTACATAGCAAAAAGAGGAAACCTGAGAATTCGCAAGGTTGATGTTTTATGGAACAAAATTGTGATTGAAGCTAGATGTTCTGCTTTGGGTATCACAAAGCCCCCTCCAAGAAGGTAACAAGGAAATTACTTGTTAAAATAACAAATTACTAACAAACGAAGGATGAGCAACATCTGTTGATGATCCTGCCTTCCTGTCTGTTCTCCCCTGCCTTGGCCACTGCTCATAATACTCCTTTGACAAAGTTGTGTGTGGGTCAGCCTGAAGGATGACTTGGAAAACAATGACTGTGGATCCAATACCTTGAAGTCCCCACCCAAGGATCAGATCAAACCAGGTGGTCCCAGTTGATCCCAGAACTCTGATATTCTTCCTCACTTGTTCCTCACGTAACCACTTGGGGTGGAACCAATGAAAGAAATCTTCTCCTCCCCCGAATTTAACATATGGGACTGGCCTTTTTAGGGGAATCTGGTCATCGCACTCTTCAGAAGAGCACAGCAAACTTGAAGCAGCCTTCACATTCCTCTTGCACTGGATCCTACTCTAGTTTTAAATCTGAAAATGGAACCTGCCCGATCTCAACTATCAGCACTCACCCAGATCCCACGGAAGAAGCAACAGAAGCAGCAGCAGCAGCTGATGAAGAGGACCAGGGATTCTCTTGAAGGACCTCAAGGCAGCCATGCCGACAGCAGTAGGAGAAACATCTGGGGTGACTTTGTGTCTTACCCAACAGATCTTTCCTACAGCAGAAGGAGCAAAAGAGGAACTCTTATTTCCTCCTTGTAAATTCGGACCATTTCCCGAGTTTGAGTTACTAAGGAAGTGATCAATATTCAGTAAAGGAGACCATAAAAATGCACAGGAGTTGCATTCTGTGGCTGATTAGTTGACTCCAGTGATTTGAAGGTTTGACCAAATGACAGTTGGACCTGAGTTTGGAATTAGTATTTATTGTATGACAATTTATAGAAAGCCAAGAGCCTACTGTGTCGGAGGCAGTAGATGTTTGGCAGCTGATGGGACTCAGAGGCATGTCCAGGTTGGTGATGTCACCGTTGCCTGGGAGCACCCAATGGGGGCTCTCCTCTCATCCCCGCATGGGTTCCCAGCAAAGTGGTACCTATTTATCTACTTGCATTTTGATATGCTTTTGAACTGCTTGGTGAGCAGGAGCGGGAACGAGTGGTGGGAGCTCACCCCATCACACAGTATTTGGGTCTCGAACTCGGGCTTGTTGATCGTCAAGCCTGGGTTCTAACCATAGAGCCACCGTGCCCCTTTATAGTAATAGCAATAGCCCTTAGACTTATATACCACTTCACAATGCTTTACAGCCCTCTCTAAGCAGTTTACAAAGTCAACCTCTTGCCCCCAACAATCTGGGTCCTCATTTTACCTACCTCAGAAGGATGGAAGGCTGAGTCAACCTTGATCCGGTCAGAATCGAACTGCCAAATTGCAGGCAGCCAGCAGTCAGCAGAAGTAGCCTGCAGTACTGCACTCTAACCACTGGGCCACCACAGAGTGGTAGGAGCTCTCTTAATCCTAAAGTTCATTGGTTGCAGGAAAAGATCTATAGAACGGACAGACCTACAAGTTTCCTGTTTTGTTTTGTTTTGTTTGAAACTGAAGGCTCCATGATTCTAAAATGGCAAGTGTGGGAAAAAAGATGAAATTGTGCCAGTATAAGGAAAGCCTGCAACCACTTTTTAGATTTTTGAAATTTTGAAATATAAGCATTTAAATTTCTTTGGAGGACTTTGCTTTTCCCAAAGGTGTTTTTTCAACAGGCAACTGGACTTTCTCATTTTTTCTTTGAAGATGTTTCTCTTCCCATCGAAGAAGCTGAAGAAGCTTCTTGTTGCCTCTTAAGGGGGGCGGGGGTTGCACTGAAATTTTTTTTTTTTTAATTTGATTTATATGCCGCCCTTCTCCGGAGACTCAAGGCGGCTTACAATGCGTTAAGCAATAGCCTTCATTCTTTTGTATGTTTTATACAAAGTCAGCTTATTGCCCCCACAAACTGGGTCCTCATTTCACCTACCTTCTCAGCTGGAAGTTCTGATGTCTGTTTATATGCATGTCATTGTTATTTCTTCTCCAAAGTTGTAGAGATACCTTGTTTTGTGAAACAGATCAGGAAATAAAAGTTCACCAAATATATTGGACAAAATGTTGAAAACTTGAGAAGTTTACATATTATTTCTTTACTGAATTGATTTCAAATGTAGCCTAACTGGATTGTCTGAATCTGGTAATATAATATGAATAGTGGATTGTATAGTTTGATTTTGCTTTGTCTGTAATCTGAATATTGTTTACTTGTATAATTAAGACTATTTGAAAGTTGATTGTGATGTTTTCTGTCTCCATCCAGTGAAAATATATATCCTTGTGTAGATGAATTTGGGGTGAGTTGGTAAATATTTTAGAATACAGATGGCTCACAAAACTATTTCTCCACAGAGAAATAGGTGCATTTTGGCCGGTGGAAAAGAGCAAAAGTGAAGCATGTAAACATTTGTTTATGTTATTAATTAAAGAAAGAAACCCCAATCCACAAACTTTAAGAAAAACTCAAAAAAAAACAAACAAACCCACCTTTGGGACAACCATGACCTGGATGGCTGAGAAGGTCCATAGACATTTGACTTTGCTTTGTTCTCTGCTCTTTTTGAATAAGACTTTTATAAGTGGTTATTTCAGGAAGTTTATTGTGCGTGAAAAAAAAATAAACTTCCAATTTTAACTGAAGTTGTTTAATGAGGAATCAACATCAATCTTAAAACTTCCTGATTGTGTTGGGATATTTTGATATTTCACTTAATAGCATAAACGTCAGTGGTGAAATCTAAAATTTGTTACTACTTTTTCTGTGGACGTGGCTTGGTGGTGGGGGTAATGTGACTGGGTGGGTAAGGCTAATTTTTTTTCTTTTAAAACCATTTAAAACAGCTGTGCTGTTTCAAAGTGTCTTCTGAAGCCATGTCTAGTGCCAGGGTTTGTGGTCCTTCCTTCCTCTTCTTTCTCTCTCTCTCTCCCTTCCTTCCTCCCTCCCTCCCTTCATATATCTATCTATCTATCTATCCATCCATCCATCCATCCATCCATCCATCCATCCATCCATGCAACTATATGTCATTCACTTTTTCCTCCCTCCCTCCCTCTTCTTTCTTTCTTTCTTTCTTTCTTTCTTTCTTTCTTTCTTTCTTTCTTTCTTTCTTTCTTTCTTTCTTTCTTTCTTTCTTTCTTTCTTGTCTCTCCCTTCTCTCTCTCTCTCTCTTTCTTTCCTTTCTCTCTCTCTCTCTTTCTCTCCCTTCCCTTCCTCCTTCACTCTCTCCTTCTACAGCTAGGAGATCCATCCGAAACAAGAACTCCTTTGGATGAAACCAGCCATTGCCATCCGGCTTATTCAACCGAAGACACACACAAACTTCTTTGATGGTAAGCTGCAAAGGGCAAACTAATGAAAACTCTCTTTTTTTGCAATGCTTGTTTTTCTCAACCCTAAGCCTCTCCCGATGTTTTCCTCTACTTCATCACAGCGCCGGGCTGCAAGGGGGTAAACCTTAGGCACTTGAGCTATCAAAGAGGATCCTGGGCACTCTGCTCAATAGGGAAATGAGAAAGGGAGCTGCCAGCATGAGGGAAAGGTGAATGGCAGGTAAAGAAAAGATGGCGAGCTTGCGAGCCGCGTGGAAGGGAGTAGGGAAGGCAGGAAAGCAGGCCTGGCCATGGGGACCGCTGGGAAGGTTGCAGGGAAGGCAGGCAAGAATGGCTGGCCCGTGGGGGAGGTAGCTGGGGAGAAGCGAAGGAAGACTCTGTGACTTATTTCTAGGATCTTACCCAATAACTCCAAACACAGGATGCAGTGAATCAATTCTCTTTATTAATCAATGTTTCAATTACAGGTATGTGGCTGGAAGTGACCTCCGGATGCCTGGACCACGTCTTAAGTACCTGGGAGGCGCAGCTTGTAGTTAGATGGTTCAAGGCAGTGGTGGGATTCAAATTTTTTAACAACTGGTTCTGTGGTTGTGGCTTGGTGGTCATGTGACTGGGTAGGCGTGGCTGGATGGGCATACGATTGGGTGGGCATGACCAACTTGATGTCACTCACGTCAAAGGGTGCCTTGCCTGGCCTCTCCTCATGTCAAAGGCCTCAAAGACAGGGGTGAAATGCTCCCGGTTCGGACCGGATCGCCTGATCTGGTAGCGATGGCAGCTGGTGGTTCAGAGAACTGGTAGCAAAAATCCCTGCCCCCCCCAAATGCCCAGCTGAGCCGCAGGATCATCAGAGGCTTTTTTTGTTTTACTTTTAAAAGCATTTTTTCTTCACCCGAAAAAAATGCTTTTAAAAGTAAAAAGAAAAAAAAGCCTCTGATGATCGCACGGTTCAGCTAGGATGTGATTTATTTCTAGGGTCTTACCCAATAACTCCAAACACAGGATGCAGTGAATCAATTCTCTTTATTAATCAATGTTTCAATTACAGGTATGTGGCTGGAAGTGACCTCTGGATGCCTGGACCACGTCTTAAGTACCTGGGAGGCGGAGCTGAGGTAAGGAGGGGTCAGGGGAGGATCTAGGTGGATGTGGTGTTAACCCTTATCATGCCTGGGGATGGACAACAGTGGGCATTTATACACAACAAATCCCCCTCTAAATGCCCAACAGTTGGGCCTGCTTGTGTGTTTCGCACCTGTACCGCTAATTTAGACGTAAGGTAAGCATGCTGTTTATTTGGTAGAGGTTTGGTCAGGATGTCTGCGGCTTGCTCGGCGGTCTCACAATGTACAGCCTTAATGAAACCAATGTTCGTTAGTTCTCAGACATGCTTGTGCTTAATGTCTATGTGTCTGGACCTTTGGCCTACAGCTTCTGCCATGGATATGTCTATGGCTGCCTTATTATCCTCATGTATTACTATTGGGTAGGCCGGTTCAGTCCAGATGCTGGTAAGCAGGTCATCAAACCATGTCAGGTTGTTAGCTGCTTTGGAGAGACAGATGTATTCCGCCTCGGATGTGGAGGTGGCTACCAGGTTTTGTTTCCCGGTGTACCAATGTACTGGGCAGCTGTTGATGAGAAACACGTAGCCGGATGTGCTCTTCCTACTTTTTGTGTACTCTATGGATGTGCCCTCCCTCTTGGTGAAAAAGCATAGGTCGGCGGAGGTGGCTGTGAACCCCATGTCCTTGAAGATCTTAGCTAGGCACTCATACCACCTCTTACCGGACTGTTTCAGACCATACAGACTTTTGTTCAATAACCACGTGTCCTCCCCTTGTGTGTTTCTCCCTGGGGGTGCCCTGACAAAGATCTCTTTATCTAGCTTCGTGTGGAGGTAGGCTGTCTGCACGTCGAACTGGTAGACTTCTAGTCCTAGGATTGTGGCTACTACCAGGGCACTTTTTACACTCTCTGCCCTGACCGTGGGTGAGTACGTATCTGTGTAGTCCTCCGGGTACCTTTGTGTGAACCCTTGTGCTACTAGCCTAGCTTTGTACAGCTTCTTATTGTCCTCTAGTTCTTTGATTTTGAAAACCCATTTAGTCCCGATGGCTACCTTGTTCTCTGGTACTCTGGATGGGGTAAATTTGTCGGGGCCAAAATTATTTAATTTGATTTTATTCTATTTTTTAAATTTTGTATTGTATGTGTTTTTATTGTTTGGCTGT